CCCTCAGGGGATGTCCCACTTGCCTGCGGGGGAGCAGGCCCTAAGCTACAGTTGGACATCCTTAGTGCTGCTGAGAGGCAGGAGAGCTCCCACCACCACTGCTGTACTGGCAGCCATCAGCCTGGCTTGTGGCTGAGCAGAGCTCCTTCCATGTGGGAGCTCACTGACACCAGGGGACAGCTCCCTGCATTGAGCATCTGTCCCCTGGTGGTCAGTGTGTGTCATAGTGACCAGTCATTCCCAGTCTTTCTGCTGTTAGGGTCAATTTGCATATTACCCTTTTATTATATAGGATAGAGGCATGGTGCGCGGGTGGGGGCTGGCTGGTTTGCCCTGAAAGGTGTCCCGGATCACGGTGGGGGTCCCGCTGGGGTGCCTGGCCAGCCTGGGTGAAGGGCTGAGGGCCGTTTTCAGTCTGGCCACACCCCCTTCAGGGAGAGGGGTCCTGCTGGGGTGCCTGGCCAGCCTGGGTGTGGGGCTGATGGCTGTTTGCAGGCTGGCCCCCCTTCAGGGAGGGGGGTCCTGCTGGGGTGCCTGGCCAGCCTGGGTGTGGGGCTGATGGCTGTTTGCAGGCTGGCCAAGCCCCCCAGTGGGGACCCTCACCCCATGAGGGTGTGGCCATCCTGGGTGAGGGGCTGATGGCTGTTTGCAGGCTGGTGACGGCCCCCAGCCGCCCAAGCTCCTAGTGGAGGCTGGCTGGAAGCAGGTATCTGGGATTTATTTATCTTCTATAATTGAAACTTTGTTGCCTTGAGTGGAGGCCACAGCCAGCCAGGGCAGGAGGGAAGCTTGGCTTCCTCCATCGCTGGGGCAAACAAGCCTCCTGCTTGCTCCAGTTCCGTGGCTGCCGGCCACCATCTTGGTTGGGTTAATTTGCATATAGTCACTCTGATTGGCTGGTGGGCGTGGCTTATGGCATAGCAGAGGTGCAGTCAATTTGCATGTTTCTCTTTTATTAGATTAGAGTAGAAGCCCGTTGCATGAAGATTAGCATAATAGGTCTTCCTTCCCCTGGCTGCTGGCACTGGTTTTCCTCCGGCACTTAGGACCCAGGCCTTCGGTCCAGCCACAGTGAACCTTGGCTTCTCCACTGCGGCCGCAGCAGAGAAGCCAAGCCTCTTCAGTCTTCAGTCTTCAGTCTTCAGTCTTCAGTCTTCACTCTGGCCTGAGCCTTCTGTCTTCGCTCTGTGCCTGCGTATGCAAATTAACCGCCATCTTTGTTGGGTTAATTTTCATAGTCAGTCTGATTGGCTGGTGGCTGTAGCGGAGTGACACCAATTTGCATGTTTCTCTTTTATTAGTGTAGATTCTTGCAAAGTAAAACTATAGGGACAAAAAAAAAAGGATTGGTGGTTGTTAAGGGATGGGTAAGGGGAGGATTTCGCTACAAAAGGAAATGGGGTAATTTTTCAGAATGGTAACCTGTTGTAAATCTTAATTGTTTTGCAGTTATATGACCATGCATTTGTCAAAGCTCACAAAACTTTACACTCAAATGGCCAAATTCTACCGTATGTCAAATATACTTCACTGGGAACAATAGCTTGAGGAATTTGTTATTATTTTATTGCTAACTTTCCATCTTAACAGACATTTCAATTGTCCCTTTTCCTTTAGCTCTGTAATTTGCTTCAATAGAAGAAAATGTTCTTTTTAACTAACATGTAATGTCAAAGCTCTAGTTATGCTTTTGAAATTCTAAAACTTTTTTTCTCTTTATTCTAGATGGAAGCTCTATCCACGGATGCTCCGGAATGTTGCTGAAATAGACCTGTCAACTTCTGTTTTAGGACAACGGGTCAGCATGCCAATATGCGTGGGGGCTACGGCCATGCAGTGCATGGCTCACGTGGATGGGGAGCTTGCAACTGTGCGAGGTAGGAAGAAGGTCCCACTAAAGGGCCAGAAGAAGACTAACCTTTAGTGACTCTCGTCTCTGTATGCACCGAGCAAATACTTCTTGAATACTTATACAGTCACAAACATTGAGCTCATCCACTCTGCCATCAAATGCCTGACCTTGCACATCGTGCTCCTCTACTTTCTAACTGTATGACTCTGGGCAACATGCTCTTTGTGCTTTGGTTTTATCAGGTGTAACATGGGGATGAAAAAAGTACCTGCCTCCCTGGGTTACACATGTAAAGTGATTCAAATGCCTGGCATGGAGTAGTGGCTCAATTTCTCTTAGTTACTAGTATTATGAGTATTAATATCAACATACCAGAAAATGGAGGTCTGAGAAATTGACTCACCCTGGGTCATACAGTTAGGTAGTGGCAGAGATGAGATTCAACTTCCTGGCTACCCTTTTTTCAAAGCCCTTACTGCTTTTCCCAAACCCATGAGATTCTCACAATGAAAGAGCAAATGCAGTGACCTGATTGGTTGTTTTCTGCTATGATTTTGTACCATGGTTGTTTTTTTGTCAATGGGTTATATTCCCAATAGAGTATTTCCAACTGCCTTAGGAGGAGGGAGTAATGAGAGATTCAAGTATGATGTAAAGACATTTCTTATTAGGCTAATTTATTAACTTCCCAGTTTTACAACAACTATGAACATTTGAGAAGATATGCACAACGATTAATCTCCCCACATTGGGCTTCAGAAACTTATATAAAGTTGGTAATGAATTCTATCTGACTTTTTTTTTATGTTAAGCAGGGCAGGTAATTCAGGTCTGAAGAGTAGGAACAAAATGCTATTTTAAAATATTTTAGTTCTAAGAATCAAAGATCTTGTGGATTCATTTCCCTCTGTGGAATGTCTTCCACAGAATTCTGCCAGGGATATCAGCATGACACAGTGAGGTTGTACTGGACACACTTAGGTCTGAACCTGGAGCTAGGACCACACACAGATAAGTGGCTTTGGGGCCCAGCCATTTGTCTATGGCAATTCTGAAATATGGGCAGGGAGAAGAAAAAAAGGGAGGTGGGGTGGGAATGGTAAATACTAAGTGGATATCTGTCTATTTAAAGTTGGGATAGCAGAGGCCTTCCCAAGCATGCCATAGACACCAATCATTAAAATCAAAGCAAACAAAGCCACATAAAAAACTGAAACTCCCATGCTCTAAAATTTCTATAAAAATGAAAACAAATGGCAAACTTAGAAAAAAAATATCTGACACTGCAAAGAGTTAATGTTCGTTCTGTGTAAAGGGCCCTTATATTTGAAAAAGTAAAATAACATCTAGC